GAGCTCAGCCCTTTTGATTTTCTGACTCCATCTCCTTGCACATTTCATTGTAATATTTTACTTTGTCTTCCTGCACTGCCTTTTGAAATCTTCTGTTCAGCTCTTTAATAGATGACTGCAGTAGAATCAATGGTTTGAGTTGTGACGTAGGAGAAGAGTGCTGAACATCCCGTGGACTGCCAAAGAACAGACAGATATGATTTGGAGTAAATGCAACCAGAGTGCTCCTTGGAGTAAAGATAGTGAAGCTTCATCTTATAGATTTCGGATATCTTGTTAGCAGAGGCTATTCCTTGGAAAGGGACATCATGCTTGGAAACACAATCAGTGGGAGAAGAACCACAACAAGATGATTTGATACAATGTCTGCAACAATAGATTCAAATGGTTGAGGATGATAAAGATGGCACAGGATAGGACGGAGTTCAGACCTGATGTTCATAGGGTTGCTATGAGTCACACGGGAACTGTTTCTTAAAATGTAATCAGTATGGAAGACAGCTTCCCGTCCCTTAACGTCTTCCAGTAGTCTAAGAGCCTAATTTTAGCTGACTCCAAGCTGTAAAACTACACCCTGTCATAAAGATACAAGTTTGGTATGTTTATATTGGGATAAATGGAACCAATAAACCCTAATGACTTCCCCTATAACCAGGTCAATTTAGGAAGCCTAGCATACCTTGGGAAAACACTGGTTAAACCCATGGTCACTCCGTGGGGGAAAGATGTGGGAATCTGATTCTGTGAATATTGTTGTGCTTGTGCACCATCGAGTTGGAACCGACTCATAGCTGACTCTCCAGCTGGTTTTCAGCTGCAGTTTGATTGCATGGGAGATTGCCTCCCTGCTCCTGTGGAGCTGCTGGTGGATTTGAACCACGTGCCTTTGGAATTGCAGCATAGCTCCTTAGGACTAGGCCACCCGAGCGGTAAAGATTAAGGCCTTGGAAGCCATGTGTGGCACTTCTAGCCTGCCTTATAGGGTGTCCAGGAAGGACAATTTACTTTCTCCCCAAACTTGTGTTGTTTACCCTGGGAACAAGCATGCCTTGTGTTGCCTAGACCTGTCACGTAAAAATTAAAATTTCTTCCCATCTTGCATTTTTGTGGATTTCCTAGGAAGCCTCACTCTCTGTGTTCTCGGGCCTCAGGTCAGTTCTGACTTGCTGTCCGTTCCGCAGAGCTGCTGATGGATTCAAACCAGCGGAGCCAGCTACACAACCTGGTGCAGCGGCCACCCCAGAGACCCACCATAGTGCACCACTCTGGCTTAAGGTTTGTTCAATAGTAAAACTGCTTTCCTTTCCCTTTGTAGATAGTTTTGCTGGGCTGGGAACAGATTTTGTTCTCTCCAATAGAAATTACTTTATGTCTTTGAAAAGTCTTGCCATGGTGTGTAATGATGTTTTCCTGCCATCTCCACTAGGCCACCGGACCCAGGAGTCTCTCTTCTTTACTATGATACCCGAGGCCTGCACAGGGTCTGAGAACTCTGATTCGAAATTTCTTTTTATTGTCCCACAGATGCCAACTTAGAGTGGTCAACAGGGCATACTTGTTAAATAATGACTGAATGAATGCTTCAAGATTACGAAAAGAATCTATTTCACAAATTTTTCATATTATAATGGTAACTTCCCCTTTATTAAAATGAAATAAACATTCTCATTTACTGCTAGTGGGAACATCAATTGGCTACAGTTCATCTGGACATAAATCTGGCAATATGTATCACCACTGGGCCAATTGGCAACATCAGGATGGATGGTGAAGAGATTGAGATTGTTCACAGCTTCAGTTTGCTTGACTCCACAGTCAACACTCCTGGCACCAGCAGCCAGGAAATTAAAAGACATATTGCGATGGGATAGTCTGCTGTTAGGGACCTCTCCAGGGTACTGAAGAGCAATGGGGTCACTCTGCAGACTAAGGAGTGCCTGATATAGGCTATGGTTTTTGCAACCACTTGCTATGCATCAGAGAGCTGGGCAATGAGTAGGGAGGATAGAAGAATTGATACCTTTGCACTGTGGTGCTGGAGAAGAGTATTGAATATACCATGGGCTGCTAAAAAACCAAACAGGTTCATCCTGGAGAGGGTTAAACCAGGCTGCTCCTTGGAGGCAAGGATTCTGAGACTCCATCTGACATACTTTGGACATGTTGTAAGGAGTGACCGGTCCTTGGAGAGGGACGTCACGCTTGGGAGGGTGGAGGGACAGTACAGGAAGGGGAGACCATCTGAGATGGATTGATTCAGTGACTGGGGTAATCGGGATGGATGTGTCAGAGGCAATGTGATTGGCACAAGATAGAACAGGGTTTAGGGCTGTTGTACATAGAGTCGCTATGAGTCGCAAATGACTTGATGGCACATAACAACATGTATCAAGAGCTTTGAAAATTCTCTTAACTGCTTACTAGTCCAATTTTGAAAAAAAAATTATAATTTGTCAGAGCCGTGGTATAAGATTTAAAGAGAAGATGAAGAACTTTTAAAATGAAACACAGTCACACTCATTGCCATTGAATTGGAACTGACTCATAGCTGACTCTCCAGTGGATTTTTAGAAGCTGCCAATTGCACAGGACACTATGTCCCAAATTTCTCCCAGGGAGTAGTTGGCAGATTTTAAGTGTTGTTGGCAGCTCAATTATTTACCCACGAGATATCCATACCCAAAAAAAGGGATATAACCAAATCACTCAAATACGGACCACAGTGATGTTATTAGAATTACATCTTTAATGTTAAATTTTTAAAAAATAATAGAAAATGATATGCTTCAATATTTCGTAAAAATAAATACAGACACAGAGAGAGAAACCCACTGCCATTGAATCAGAACCAGCTCATAGCTGACCCTCCAGGAGATTCTGAGACTGGAGATCACCCATTCTTCTCCTCTGAAGAAGCTGGTAGATTAGAATGGCCAGAGAAGAGTGGTCTCTGGATTACCATTCAGTCCGTCCAGACCAGGCCCCCAGACCTCTCTATGTATAGAAAAGGGCCTCAGAAATAAGTGTTCTTACATTTAGGTATATTACCAGGTAGTGAGATTCAAAGGGATTTTTCATTTTCTTTACTGTTCGGACAGACACTAAATTTTCTGTATTACTGCCCAGAGAAAAGGGTATTAAAAACGTCAAAGACCACAATACTATTTTAAATTAAATATACATACACAATGCAGTCTGTTCACATCAAGTTACCAAAGTGGTCCCCTTACTTGCTTTATGTTCCCTAAGTGTGACCCCTGAGAACTCTGGCTCGAGATCTCCCTTTTATTTTTTCACAAGTATCAATTTACAACCATGAGTCAGCATATGGCTTCACCCCTGGGGTGGAGAAAAGTGACGGCCGTAGCCACGTGAATGGAAGAAATGTTTAGCCAAATAGAACTTGGGCTCTGTCAGAGCAGGTCTGGATTGGGTGTGCGACAGGTGGGAAAGCTGGGGAAATGACTTGCCCTACATGTTAAGGAGCTGAGGCCTCGTGGGAAGGGGGAGATGTTGCTAAACAAAAGGCTGTGTCTCCAGCAGCTGGGATTTACCAGCATCTCTGAGAGTGAAAGACGGGTAGTGGAATCGACTGGAACACAGTAAGGCTGAGTTTTTAAGTTGCTGCTTGCTGAAGATGTATCCCCCTTCCTGACTCAGAACTGTGGGCAGAGCAGCAGACAGCATACAGAGCAGGGACAGGGTTGAGGAGAGAGTTCAAAACAGAAATCCTACATTTTCGGACCTTCTGTAGATAAAAAAATTTAAAAATAAGAACAAAGTACTAGGAAAAAGGAAAGGAATGCCATTGATAAGACGAACTGGTGAGGTGGTGAGAACTGGAGCTGGGGGGGTGACGTCGTCAGGAGAACGGTCTCAGACGGTTGGGAAGGTATCTCAGAGTCAAGCTCGAGGTTGTCTGTGTGCTGACTCCTCCTGCAGACCTTGAAATGCATGATCCTCTTTCTGAGTAAGTGGAATATGAAAACAAGGTGCCCCAAGAATTCCTAGAACTCTTAGGGTAATCGTTGGACTTTATAAAGAGAGTGAGGAATGGAGGTTTTAAGCAAACCAATCCAGATCTGAAGGCGTAATAAGATCTCAGCAGACATGAGTTACACAAGACTTAAAACTTATTTACATATACACATGTTCTCTACCCCATATCGTTAGAGTGACAGTCATATATTAAAGACAGGAGATAGAAAAAAAATATATATAAATAGTTGATTCTCAGCTGTAAAGTATAAAACATCAGTTGAGTATTTTGCACAAATTTCCTTTCTTCTCTTGTATGAATGAATCCAGATGGTGTTTCCTTTGCTCAAGAGCTCTCCAGGTTCATGGTGAAAAGATGAAGAACATCACCAAGGTGCACTTGGGAGACTTGGGAAATAAGGATGGTCTTAATAGTACATGTTCTTATCCCACCAACCTGGAGGGTGAAAAAAAAAGGTCATTAGAAATAAATTGAAGTGAGTTGGCACGGGTAAGCAAAGCCTCAAAAATCAGACAGCTTACTTCCAGGGTAGAGCCTGATGAAAAGTTTCCGTATTTCATCGTAAACCCAGATCAGAATAGCATATGGCACAACCACAAACCAATACTGAGCCCTGGAAAAAGAAGAGAGACATGTGAGTGCCTGTGCACCCCAAGGAATGGTGCTGCAACCCCAATGATGGACAGACAGATTCCTGTTTCTTTTCCCTGCCTTCCTGAAAATAACAAAGTCAACAGGACATAGAATATCGATGAAGAGTCTTCAAGTTAAAGAAAACCTTTGACCAACACAGAACTGACTTAAAATTGTTCTCCCTTTGGAAGGATTTAAAAGTTCTGCAATCTTAATGTTGAATTACTTTCCCTCTTTTGTGTGTGTGTGTGTGTGTGTGTGGGTGTGTGTGGGTGTGTGTGTGTGTGCGCTGTCGAGTCAGATCTGACTGGCACAGGAAGAGATTGTACATTTTTCTCCAGCAGAGCATCTGGTGGATTCAAACTGTGCACCTTTGGGATTACAGCGCAGCTTCTTGCCATTAGGCCACCAGAGCTCCCTTCCTTTCCCTCTTGGAAACAAGGTGAACTCACCGGAGCACCGTGAAACTCAGGGCTGTGACACTCCCCAGGCCGTAGGAGAGGATCAGGGCGATGATGATCTGTGAGGCTATCCCGACCCAAATGACTTTATTTCTGCAAGACACAAAACCAAGCAGATTCTGCATGTCACATGGGGCTCCGATGCTGCTGCCCAACAGCCTGAAGCGACCCAACAGAGTTGACAACTGGTGCATTAAACTCAGGCTATAGTTGGGGTCTCTGAAGCCACAGACCTCTGAGCCATTGGCATTGTGAGGCCGGAGTTAAACTGTGAGATTAGACGCCATCCATACCTGAAGAGTCCCTGCTGGAAAACAGAATTTCTCCGGGTTTTCCTGATGATCACATCTGCTATTTGCTGAATTGTGATGGCAGCGAAGAAGGCTGTGTAGCCTGTCCATTCCAGGTACTGCCTCTGATACCTTGTCTGTTAGAGAGCAGAGGCAGAGGAGACCATGAGACTCGGGACAGAAAACTTGAGGGTCATTCCAACGCAGCTCTAGAAAGTTTTACTCCTTTCCCTACCCCACTAAGACAGACAGTGGATTGCCTCTCTGTCTTTAGAAAGAAATATTTTCCCCCTTCAATCAGGTGAGGAGGGAGAGGATGCTGATTTAATATTGTTTTTGTCCAATTGTGGGTGTCGTTGCACTGTTGAGTCTTCGATGTTGTTATGTATCATGTAGTTGGACTGACTGATAGTGTTTAAGAGTTTTCAGAGGGTATAAATCTCACGAGAGGGAAAAATCCCATCTTTCTCCTGAGGAGCAGCTGGTAGATTGAAATCTCTGTCCTGGGGCCGGCAGTGTAACTTCTTCTTAGGCCACCAGAGTCCCCTCAGTCTTCTATTCCAACTGAAAAACTAACGTTAAAAGGATTTAGTTCTTGGGGAGCTCTGGTGGCCTAGTGGCAAGAAGCTGCACTGCAATCCCAGAGGTGTGCGATTCAAATCCACCAGATTCTCTGCTGGAGAAGGAGAAACAATCTCCTCCTATACCTGTCAGATCTGATTTGACAATGTACACACACACACACACACACACACACACACACACACAAATAAATAATAAATAAAAAAGAAAAGAAAAGAAAAAGTTAGTTGTTGGGATCTAATCTGAGAGATGCGGTCGAGTCTTGGCAAAGGCCAAACACTGTGTCCACAAGCTTTAATAAACGGGAAATGTTTCACTGCCTTGGGAATGAATTCAGGCAAAGGACGTTTCAGAGCAAGACCCTGAACAAGGGGACGACCACCAATGGGAGCTTTCCTGTCTCCTTACCCACTCCTGCCCATAGCTGTCTTCCAAGTCATTCACGTCGTCTTTTTCCCACTGTACTCGCAGGCCAATGAGACGGCTGGGTCTAAATCCAGCCTGTGCGTAAACAGTGAAATAAACAACAAAGGCTCCCACAGCTTGCATGAGGCCTAAAACATGAGAGAAAAAGAGATGGTGCTTTAGAATTTTTCTCTCCAATTTCTCTTCCCATCCCTGTCCCATCTGTAAGGGTGGGGAACCCCCACAGCTGTGACTGTATCCAGGGGCGGTTCCTCATGTGGCAGGGTCCCGATCATACCAATGTGCAGGTAAGAGTAGAGGGCGAGCGGTGCGTTGACCAGTCTGTCCTTCTTTTTGTGACGAGGCTTCCTGTTCATGATGTCGCTTTCTGCTTTCTCGTATGCCAGGGCAACAGAGGGAATCTAGAGAGGAGAGAGAGGTCCTGACTCAGAAAGTGAGGGCACAGCAAGGGTGAGGACTGCTGCGGGCTGGTGGCATGGGCTCTGTGGATAAAGGGTTCATTATATAGAGTTTTAGAACAGCCAGCTTTAAAAATCATTCTGTCTTCTCTGCACTGGGAGCAGCTTTCCTGCCACAGCCCCTCATCCCCTGAAAATGTATGCCTGCACCAAGTCTGTGTCCACCGCTTCCCCGGTCAGGAGCCCCTCTCAGCTGCTGGGCCGTCCACTGTCTGCAGAGGGGCTGAAACTACCGGAGACACTGACAGATGAGGACTTGAGCTGCTTGACAGCCCCACGTCCCTTGATTTCATTTATCCCTGGTCGCAGCACCATCTCCAGATATACTGACACAGCAGCCAAGGTTTTTGTTTGTTTGCTTTGGTTTTTTTTTTGGGGGGGGCTGGGGCTGCCACAGTCAGAGTGGCCGGCTCTGGAGCTGGGATTGGGACTGTTTGGAAGCCTCATCATGGTTATGCCAGGAATCCTTCTCTGAAGCAGCGTCCATGCCATTCTGGCCTTTGCCCGCCCTGAGGCCATGGGGCTCTTTAGCCCGATGGTGGCCTTTCTGATCCTTTTCTCCACGTGCAGGAGCTGTCGCCACCTCCCACAGTGTGTTCATCTTCTCTCTCTGTGTCTCATCTACCATCTATGTTCCCTTCCCTGTAACTCCCCAGGAAGCCTGGGAAAGTGACTGGCTCAGGGTTTGACTGAGGGAAGATAAATAAGTACTGTATTAATAAGATGAAAAAGAATAAAAGTCACTGCTTCTTCCTATCATCGTTACGAAACAGTCTCTCCTCCTGTCCACCACTCCTCCCGCTATGGGCACCCTCCTGGACCACCATGCGATGCACTAGGAACAGTGATTATCAAACTCGGCACCATCAGGAAGCCCACCTGGCTGGCATGGAGCAGACCATTCGCCTGAAATTGTGGGGCCCTCAATTCCCCTAAGAGGTAAAGACATCTCTAGGGTCCTCTGCCATCTACTTGTTTGTTACCGTAGTTGGTTGTTAATTAAAACAACATGCTGTGAATGTGGGTTTTTCTGTGTGCTCTTTTTACCCTTTCACCTTGCAAACCAGGGCCGTGAGTATCCTCCAAAGAGCTTCCTGGTTTTTAAATGGATCCACACGAGTGAGCGGACAAATTTCAGGGAAGTTACATTAGGCTCATGCAGAGCACTGTGGTGCTCCTTCATACTGTAGAGCGGGTGGTGGCCAGAACCCACCCAGGCGGGCGGGCCTGAAGTCAAGCCCACCAATCAGCTTCCAGAGCATCACAGACCTTGAACATCCTATGAAGCCCCGTTCTTTGCCCAAATGGGGTCAACAACAACAACCACCACAAGTAACAAGAACAACTTCTGTCTGTGTTTAGGTAAAGGGTCCCAAGATCAGATTCTTTTACTTAAACAGGGATGGCTGTCTTTCTCACTTTCAGTCACTGAGCCCCAAGCACTGAGGAACTATTTTTTTTTAAATTATTTTTGTGTGAGTGTACCGTCAGATCAGATCTGACTGGTACAGGAGGAGATTGTCCCGCCTTTTCCCGGCAGAGCATCTGGTGGATTCGAACCGTGTGCTTCTGGGATTGTAGTTGCAGCTCCTTGCCACTAGGCCACCAGAGCTCCCCTTGAGGGGCTATTTTGGTGACAGTTCACCTTCCCAGAAGAAGAGGGAGGCACACAGGCAGAACTGTACAAAGGCTTTTCTGGAGGGTGAAGAACTCATGTCTTAAAAAGCTCGCCCATGGAATGAAGTGACCAGGATACGAGCAGAACCACCCAGCCTGGATCTAGCTGAAGGTTTCATTCAAAGCGTTCATACAGAAGCCCCCTTTGGCACTACTTACGATGTCCGTGCCCAAGTCGATGAACAAAATGGTGATGGTGCCCATGGGAAGGGGGATCCCGATAATAATGTAGATCAAAAAGGGGCAGAGCTCAGCGATGTTCTTGGTCAAGGTGTAAGCGATCGTCTTCTTTAGGTTGTCGAAGATCAGACGGCCTAGTGTAAAAAAAGGTGTTTTTACTGGTTTTGCTTTTAATCCCCTGGAGACTCCCTCCCTTGGGAAGGCCACAGGAGACCTTGTTTACCTTCTTCCACCCCTGTGACGATCGATGCAAAGTTGTCGTCTAGTAGCACCATGTCAGCTGCATTTTTGGCTGCATCAGAACCTGATATGCCCATGGCGATGCCAATATCTGCCTTTTTTAGCGCCGGAGAATCATTGACTCCATCCCCGGTCACAGCAACCACTGCACCCTGGGGGGACAGGTAAGTGAACAGATGCAGGTGACCACAGGTGTGGCAAGAACAGAAACTCAATTTCAATTTAAGACTAGGAAAATTCCTGGGGCTGAAGTGAAAGGTTGATTTGGGGGTGGGGGGTGGGAATCTAAAGCCAGGAAATCCAAACAATAAGAATATAAATTCTAAATAAGATGAAGCCACATAATAAAACCAATGTGTGTGATTTGTTGAAGTAGACAGGGGCTGCGTGTTACATTTTTCCTTTTTTTAAAATTTTATTATTTTTACGTGTACTGTCAAATCAGATCTGACTGGTACAGGAGGAGATTGCCCCCTCCTCCAGCAGAGCATCTGGTGGATTTGAACTGCCTACCTCTGGGATTGCAGTTCAGTGTCTTGCCACTAGGCCACCAGAGCTCCCCACATTTTTCCTTTTCAAAAAAAAATTTATTATTTTGTGTGTGTGTACCATCAAATTGGATCTGACCGGTATAGGAGATTGTCCTTCCTTTCCCGGCAAAGCATCTGGTGGATTCGAACCACGCACCTCGGGGACATTTTCCCATTTCTAAAAGCCTGCAGACCCACCCCTTCCACAGGGCCCAGATGTTCTGGCAGAAGTCCTGGTTCTGATCACACAGTTCCGAGAAGCAGCTTGGGTTCTTTACCATGCAGTGTGACAGGGTCTGTGGCCATCCCTTTCTAACATGAACCAGGACAGCAGGGCGGCACATAAGCCCAGGGAGAGGGCACAGAGGTGAAACGACAGTGGGATTGAAGAGCCTTCTCTGAGAGTGTTCAGATAGCCCAGGTGTGAGACATAGCTCTGTGCTGACAATCCGCCCTCCCCCTCATGACAGTGGTTCCTGGCCATCGTCCCCACTCACCAGTCTCTGACAGCCTTCCACTATGAACAGCTTCTGTTGGGGGGACGTCCGGGCAAAGACAATTTCTGAGTGATTTGCAAGGATCTCATCAAGCTGTCCTGGGCTCATGCCGCTCAGTTCCATGCCGGTCACCACGGCAGCTCTAGCGTCCCTAGGAGGGTCAGGGGCAGCAGGTGAGACCAGGCCCAAACAGAAGGCTCTGTACAGCATGTGGGCTGGGGCTACTGTGACAGTACATGGCACCAAGTCTCCCCAGCGCCTGGGAGGCTGAGAGAAGGTGATCAGAATTCATGGGGGCAGCTTAGTCTCCACTATAAGACAGTAAATTGAGGCTCAAAAAAATGAAGTGAAAAAAAAAAAAAGTAAGTAATTTTTTTGGTATCACAGAACAGTAGCAATAAAAAGGCCAAACAGCCTATTCATTATGGGAATGTGAGGAAATGGTTCTTCTTGGGAAGTGCTTAGGAAAGTAGAAACTGCCTTTTGAAAAGCATTAATAGGTAAATGAGTATCCACTGCAAAATTTTTTGTATGTTTGAAAATTTTCTTCATAGATCACTGGATAACCTTTTGGGTCCTGGAGTTAAGCCTATGCCAGTCCTAGGTAATCATTCTGCTGTTGTTATTCATTTGAGGTGAAGAATGTCTGCTCTATGCAAAGTGCCCCAAAGAGAGAAAATCTCTCCTGTCTGCTGAGACAGAACAGTGCGGTCACAGGGACTGTGGCTCTGAGTAGCTGCCCTTTCTAAGACTCTTCAAAGCTGTCCAGCGATGAACTGAAACAGAGTCTACATTAATCTTGTCAGCGTTGTGGTCCCCTCAGACTGCTCACTCACCAACTCAGTGGTGATCCAGAGAAAAGAGCCTGGGAGCCTCTTCAGCTTTTGATAATGTTGCTGTACCCAGAGGTGGTGATGCTGTTTCACTTTCTTACTTGGTCATTAGCTTATTCTCCAGCATTGCTCTATTCCTAGAGAATATAAAGGTGCCTAGTGGCAAGAAGCTGCACTGCAATCCCGAAGGTGTGGGGTTCGAATCCACCAGATGCTCGACTGGAGGAGGGGGCAATCTCCTCCTGTTCCAGTCGGATCCAATTCAACGGTTCACAAGAAGAAGAGCGGGGGGAAAGGTTTACTAAGTTTTCCTCTTTTCTCCTCTCCAGAATATTTTTTAACTTCAGACTTTGATGCATTTAAATTACAAGAACCATATCCTGGAAGTCCCTCTGACTTCCCAGCTCAGACTAGTTATCTTCTTCCACCATTCCTTGTGCGTTTCCTTCTTTATTCATCATTATCACATCACAATCAGTGGGCTCTTCCTGACTCTGAGTAGCGTGTAGTCTCCCGAAGGCACTGAAGATTGTCCATGTCAGTTGTCACTACTGTCCCAGAGTTCAGCACAGTGCCTGGTATACAGCCGGTAGTCAACAAACAGTTGTTAAAGCACCTCATAAAAAGTGGGAAGATGGATGACTGGATGGATGGATAGAAAAGGATGGGCAAGCTTAAAAGAATTAGGAGAAATAAGGAAAACCTGATGAGGTTTTATTAGTCCTAATTATACAAAATCATCAACGTATTAGGGCAAGTAATTTCACACAAATTCTTTATTTACACTCTCTCACTCTAAAGTGGGTAAGGCTTTATTTATGTCCACTTCATTGGGAGTTTGACAGACTGTTGTTGTTAGGTGCCATCGAGTCACTATGATACATAGCAACCCTAAGAAAAGCATTTAGACTAAAATAGTATTCATGAGTGTCAGTACAGAGCCTGGCGTGTGAGTCGTGTCTTGAGTAAATGAACAGATATGCACATTATGGGTCCAATCAGTCTAATATTACCTTCTGAGGATGCTTTGCCAAAGACGATTTTGCTACAGAGAACACAAATCTTTGGACTATCAGGGGCCCAAGTGAAGGAACTTGAGTGTCTGCTAAACTGGCTCTGGTGCTTACCGTTTGTTAACTTGTTCCACGGCAACGTTGAGGCGTTTTGCAATGTCCTCCACTGTCTCACTGTTGGCGGAAATGATCCCGACGCTCTTGGCAATGGCTTTGGCTGTGATGGGATGATCACCTGTCACCATGATAACCTAGAACACAATGAAGAAGGCATAGGGACAATGAAGGCCTGCGGTAGCTAAAGTAAGAACAACTCCATACTGCCTTCTCCACCCTCACGCGTAAAGGAGCTCTGCCTTAGTGGTAAGAAACTGCGCTGTCAACTCAAAGGCACACGGTTCAGATCCACTCGCTACTTCATGAGTCAACTCCTATGAGATTTACTGTCTCTGAAAACCTGCTGGAGGGTCAGCTATGGGTCGGTATTGACATGATGGCACGCAGCCACCACCACCACCACCACGCCTTGGAAGAGCACGACTGGCTTGGGATTCTTGTGGTTTGCCGTAGCGGACCACTCTTGATTTACAACTGTCTGGCAAGGGTGGATACCAGTGGATCACCTCCCGCTCCTGAATTTCTGACATTACAGTAAAGCCCTTTCCCTCTGCTGTTGTGAAGGGACTTGGAGATGTCTATTTGGAGCAGTGTCACATTCCTTCCACTGTCATAAGGCACAGTGACATAACTCAAAGGTAGCTCAAAAAGCATAAAGACAAATGGATACGGAGGCTGATCCTTAAGCTTAAGCAAGAACACCTTTAACTGTCCACCATGGTCTGGGATAAGATAGGGCCTCTCCACAACACAAAGACATAGCTGCCCTCGCACTACAATGAATGCTCTGATTTATTCCACGTAGACGTATCATTTTGCTTTTATGGGATAGCTACAAAAAAATCCTCATTAAGTAGAGTTAAAGAAGAGAATTGCCTTATTTCCATAAAAATCCCTGCTCATTTACATAAAAATACTGATCATCTTCTACAGTGCAAGGTCTTAGAGATTCAACGGAACATATATGGGATTTCTTGAGCCAGGAGAGCCAAACCCACCTTGATCCCAGCACTCCGGCATTTGGTGACAGCATCGGGCACCGTGGACCGAGGGGGATCAATCATGGACAAGAGTCCCACAAAACAAAGGCTGGACGTGGGGAAGTTCATGGTGTCTGTGTCAAAGGAGTAGGTTTCTGGAAACTTATCCGCTGGCAGGTAGAGATGACAGAAACCTAGAGTGGACATGAGTTTGGAAAAGTAAATGAAACTAGAATAAACCCTGATGGAAGGAATTGGAGGAGCACCCTGATACGCTCCCCGTGCTTGAATGCTTTACCATTGTGGGCTTAAAGTTATTATTTTGTATTCATAACCATTGATGTCTAGTCGATTTTGACTCACGGTGACCTCCCACTGGTTTCTGTCTACTTCTTCATGGGAGCAGACTCTCCCATTTTATTCCTATAGAGCAACTGGTGGATTTGAACCACTGACCGTTAGGTTTGAACCTCAACATCGAACCCCCCAACACTGCAGGGGTCAGAATTGATTCATCTCCTTCAATTCCGCATGGTTTTAGAAAGACATATTTGATCCCCAAGTCATCTGCGGTGTTTCCGTTAGGCTCCATGTTATGCTCTAGGGATAGGAAGGCCAGGCCTTTGCTTCCTGGTAAAGAACTAAAGATTCCCCAGGTCGGGAGGCAGAGATAGAGACCAAGAACACTAAACCGCAGTCAGTGCGTGCTACAGAGCCTGGTTACATTCGTGCTGCCTGAGGAGTCAGGAAAGGCTTTACCAAGCAGGTGACATCTAACGTTTGAGCTGGATCCTGAGGAGAGGAGGTGTTAGATGTTTTTCAGGGACACACAAGCGGACTGCGGGGTGGGAGACCATTTTAGAAAGAGAAAGGAGCATATGCCACTGCACAGACTTGTCAGGGGAGTAATAGGAAGTTCAGTCATTAAGCAAGAGAAGAGAGAAGGCTAGAGAAGGAAGAGGTAGGCTGAGGGCATCTCTAGCAAGCTGAGGAAGAGGGTAGTCTGTGTCTGATGGGACTTCTAAGATCTCATGATTGTCTCATCAGCTTTCATATTCCATCTCTTCTCAGCATGGCTCACTATTTTACAAATTTCAATAAAGCACAGACTTTGGTAGGCCGCATCTGAGGTTGCTGGAGTGACCTTAGACAACAGATGGATAGCAATCTTGGGTTGAAAAAGATTACCCAGTCTTGTGGAGTATTTAGCACACATTAAATCATTATCATCTCATTTGTATTTTTTATCTACTCTAGAAACTCAAGATCTACTTTACAAACACATTCTGCAGATTCCAGCATCTCCACTGGCAAAAACTTTAATGTTTAATGACCCTTCTCATCAACCATTACTTTCCATTAACTTGAACTTATTCTGTTGTTCTAAGCTGATGTTCTTTCATCATCAGTCCATGATTCTCACAGTGGAACAAGCAGCCCCTTATCACCTTAAATAGCCTGGTATTTCTAAGAGTTCTTCTAACATTTCCCACCTCAGCTACTAGCATTTCTTTTTTCCCCAGTCAAACAGACTTTTTTTGTCAAAAATGTCTATTTTTTCCCCCAAAATGCTTTTCTCCTCTTGCACAGATGTAGTCAATCTTATTCCTATGCAGCCCATTAGGAAATCGTTGGAAAAGCTCAGTGTCAGCAGTCAAAAAAAAAAAAACAAAAAAAAAAAACCCCAAAAACCCTAGACTAGGGGCTACTGGGACTAGGCTTTGGGTTGGACTGTGGGTCAGACCATCAATTACTCATGTGCAAGTTCAAATTGAGGATGAAGAAAATCAAAACAAGTCTACGAGAACTGAAATACAATCTTAAATCTATTCTATCTGACTTTCAAAACCATCTTAAGAATGAGTTTGAAGCGTTGAACACCAATGATCGAAGACTAGCTGAGCTGTGGGATGATATCAATGATTTCTCCTCTAAGTAGCTTCTAAGTCCTGCCAACCCATATCCATGAAATCTCTTGCACCTCACCTTCCACATCCTCACTGCCATGGAGACACTTCCCATTCTCCTTCACCTACATGAGGACAGCCTCCTCCTACTTAATCTCAAGTCTCTCCTCTTCTGGTTAACCATCTTGCACGCTACTGCTGAACACTCTCTTTAAAAACACACCAAAACGTCATCAGCTCATGTCTGATGCAAAACCTTTAACATCTGTCCACAAACTGCAGCGTGAAAGCCCGAGTCCTCTCCCACCCCCTCACCCAGTCTTACTGGCCTGTGGCTGCCCTCCCTCACGCCCCTGTGACCCCCAGCACGGGAGGCTGCCTCAGCAACGCCTGCCTCCATCCCTCACCCATTCTGCCTGTGTGCTCTGCCTCATGTTCTCTCTTCACTGCGTTCTTTCCCCAGCCTCCCTTCAAATGGTTACCTGTCATCCAAGGCCCAGTTTAGAACATAACTCCTTTCATTAGATCTCCTCTGATGTTACCTCTTGAAAGTGACCCCAACTTTGCCTTGTACTCTCAAATACATATCTTTGGCTAAGTGCTTATCTTCACGTTTGTTATGTTCATTATTCACACGGAGGCCACATCTCCTCGACTAAATAATGCATTGTTCAGAGATGCCCGCCTTGCCTTGGGCCCTGGTTGAAGGTCAGAGTCTTGCACCTATCGAGTGATGACTAAGAGTTCTGGTCGCCCAGCCTCACCCAGCACACGCTCGCCCATGCCTCCGAGCTCCATATACGCTGTGTGGAAGGCCTCAGCCGTGCTCTCATCCAGGGGCTGCTCCTGGCCATTGATCATGATGGTGCTGCACCTCTCTAAGATCCTCTCGGGCGCCCCTTTCATCACCAGGAGGAAGCGTTTGTCACCGGGGTCATCCGTCTCATGGATGGAGACCTGGGAAGAGAGAAAGAACTGACCATGTAATAACCATACAGCAGGTTCCCGATTCTGCCTTCATTACTCAGACGTGAAATGGACAAAAGCTTTTAAATACTAACATGACAAGAAAGTGCAAACCATCTCTTTCTTCTTATTAGGTTACTCGTCCTTGAGATATAAAGAAGAAAGAGTAATTGTGCTCTATCCTCTTTGTCTTGTGGCCAAGCTACAGACTTAGCCTTAAAGCAAAGAGATACACGGAGGCCGAAACCAAACTAAACGGAGCGTGTCTTTCAAACAGTGGTATCTGTAGAGAAATCCACAAAGACCAGACAGATATGGCTCTAAGTCTGGGACTTAAACAAGCCCCTTGAGATGTTGGGCCTTGAACAAGATCTCTTGGGGTTTTTGCCAGAGAAGCATTAGGACTTCATGTATCAATTCCTGTCTTGACTTCTGTGTTATGAGCAGCATTCCTATAGACAGCACTTCTCTGAGCTCAGGCATGCAGGTGAGGAGGAATTCCCCTTCCTCTTAGGATTGAACCATGGTAATGTCCGGATGTCAGAGAACATGACAGGAGTGTAAGAACGTAGGCATTGCCATGCACAACCTTTCTAGAGAACAGTTAAGTAAAAGATGCCACAATTATATTACGAATACCTTTAATAGCAATTCTGCTTCCAGACTTATCCTAGTAAGAAAACTGAGAAAATATGCTGTTGTTATGTGCCGTCAAGTCGCTTGTGACTTATAGTGGCTCCATGTGCAACAGCCCGAAACCCTGCTCTATCCTGTGCCAACCTTATCCCATTACCCCAGTCACTGAATTGATCCATCTCATCGAGGGTCTTCTCTTATGCTGTCCCTCCACCCTCTCAAGCATGATGTCCCTTCCCATGGACTGGTCCCTCCTTGCAACATGTCCAAAGTATGTCAGGTGAAGCCACAGAATCCTTGCCTCCAAGGATCAGCCTAGTCTTACCCTCTCTAGGATGAACCTGATTGTTTTCCTAGCAGTCCATGGTGTATATTCAATACAATTCTCCAATATAAAATGAGTAGCCCTTATACAGTCCTTATATCAGGCACTTTTCTTAAGCAGTCCATATAACTTTAAAGAAACTGGAGTATTTGAAGAAAACAAATTAATTATAAGGAAAAATTATGATTTTGAGTCCGTCAGTTGATTTTAAATCAGTAGTTTTTATACTGATGCATATCAGAGGTGAGTAGAATTGGAAAACAAAATAATGCCAAGGAGAATAATGCCAGGGTTTTTTTATGGACAGGCAAAAATATAAACAAGACAAACTACTCACCATCTTCTTATCACCATTATTTTCTGAAATAATTCTCATCTCACTGACATCAATGAAGCTGCCACTCACAGAGACACCCCCCCCCCGCCCCAGGTTTTGAGGCTAAATCCCAGTGGAAGGACATTACTCCCCCTTCTCCGGCAGAGTCACCAGTAGATGTGGACCATCTTTGGGTCAGCAGTACAACTTGCTATAAGGCTACACCACCAGAGCGCCCTTCTGGAAGAGAGTGCATTTTAAAATGTAAAGCAGGACAAATAAGAGTAGACACTTTTCTCATGTGTTGTCTATAATAGGAGACACTTTTCTATAGTGTGTACTGTGTGTCAGGCTCTGTTCTAAACATGCTGAGTCACAAGAAGCCCACACAGGGACGCTGTCTGTCGCTTAAGTCCCAATTCTGTGAGGGCTGTATTTTCCCTTAACGTTCTGTACAGACTGTGAAATCTGCTTTCCTTCTCATTTCTCACCGACTAGTGTGCCTTTACTCTGAGAAGTGGAGCCGCCTCAGGATTCTGAAACCTTGGAAGATGAACTATCACAGTCCTCAAGGGCATAGACTACCTATATTTAAATCCTGGTTCTGTCCCTTATTAGCTAATTCTATCATGACAGATGGAGAAGAGACTGAGGTTGTTAACAGTTAAAGTTTGCTCGGTTCCGCAATCAACACCCTTGACACAAGCAGTCAGGAAATAAAAAAGACGAATTGCATTGGGAAAATCTGCTGTCAAAGACCTCCCCAGAATTCCAAGAAGCAATGATGTCAGTCTAGAGACTAAGGTGCACCTGATCCAGGCCATGGTCTTCGTAATTACATTCTATGCATTAGAAAGCTGGACATGACTAAGGATGACAGAAGAATTGACGCCTTAGAGCTATGGTTCAAGAGTCTTGAACATACCGTGGACTATCAAGAAAACAAATAGGTCTATCTTAGAGAAGGTGAAACTGAGTTGCTCCTTGAGTTAGGACTTTGAAGCTCTATTTTGCATACTTTGGGCACATGGCCAGGAGGGACCAGTCCTGCTTCTTGGAGATAATGCTCGGAAAGGTGGAGGGACAGCACAGGAGAGGAAGAGCCCAGATGAGACGGATCGATACAGTAACTGGTGTAGTGGGAGTAGGTTTGTTGGAATCAGTGAGACTGGCTCAGGACAGGGCAGGATTCAGAGCTCTAGTACAAAGGGTCACTAGACGGTGGAATAATGGTACCTGTACACAGAGTTGTGAGAACTTCATTATTTAGTAATGTTAATTATTATACAAAATACTTACCACATAACAGCTACTCCTAACTCTTGCTCGTTTAGACTGCTGTGGCTTTGTGGTTAGTAGGGAGCGACACTTAGTGAAAACACCGCACTTCTCTGGTTGTTCAAATCCACCAGCTGCTCCAGGGAAGAAAAAGGGGCAATCTCCTCCTGTGCAGTTCACAGTCTTCAAAAGCCCACTGGAGGGTCAGCTAGGAGATGCTCCCAACTCAACAGCAATGACTTTGACTTCTGACACACACTATTTTTAGTTTTGTTTTGAATCAGAGATTTTAAATACATATTTTTGTTAGCTGGCTGTTTAAATATAATTCTTTATTGGTCCATTAACTACAAAGAAAGCACTTGGCTGTCAACCAAAAGGTGGGTGATTTAAATCCACCCACCAAATGACTCTACAGAAGAAAAACTTGGCAATTTGCTCATGTAAAGAAGACAGCTAGGGGGCACTGGTGGCCTACTGTCAAGAAGCTGCACTGCAATCCCAGAGGTTCACGGTTCGAATCCACCAGATGCTCTGCTAGAGAAAAAGGGGCAATCTCCTCCTGTACCAGTCAGATCTGATTTGACGGTACATGCACAAAAAATAATAATATTTTTAAAATCAATAATAATAATAAAAAGAAGACAGCCTGGCAAATCCATGGGGCACAAAACTTTCACAGTGGATCGCTCTATGAATAAAAACTGATTTAAATCCCACAAAGATCTTTGCAAAACCCCCTAATTCCTAAAATCCACCAAAACTAAGATAGATAGATAGATAGATAGATAGATAGATAGATAGATAGACAGATAGATAGATCACCAGAAAAGTCATAAAAACATGGTTCTTTCCTTCCATGCCACACTGCTATGCTAAGTCTAGGTCATCATCTCCTGCTGCCAGCTTTGCGCTCCAGGTGCAATCCCACCCGTAGCAGCTCTTGTCCTGCTCAGAAGAAGATGGAGATGGTGTGGCCACCCCTGCAGTGAGAGCACACCCTGATACTTTTCTACTTCTTGCACAATGGGTAGAAAGGAGGTCCCTACCGACAGCCAGCAGGCTGAATCAGATAATTGAAACCATGGAAGGCAAACCTCCAGATAATGAGGAACCTGTGTTTGTGTGTGATCCTGCATAGGCTTGGCCAGGTCTTCACAGGCTCTTTATCTTGTAAACTTTTTTCTCTAGCTTACTTCAGGAGAAGGAAGGCAGCGAGCTAATTTGGACTGAGAAACATGATCTGGGTTTATCAAAAAACCAGGATCCACACCCTTGAGGACTGTTTCTGTCTAGTATCATTCAATCTAGTATCATTCAGTCTAGTATCATTCAGCTTTTGTACAACCCAGCTGACACACGCAGACAGAAACAGGCTGGATGTCATGAATATTGCCAGTTGTGAGGAAAAACTCACCTGAAATTTGTTGGTCGAGTTAAAGGGGATTTCAGCTACTTTGTGGTTTCTTTTTCTGATTTCCATCACATCCCCTGAAATGACCTCGGAGAATTTCAAGAGAGCAGTTTCTGAGGCATCTCCAATCACAGTTTTCTGGGAATTAAGAGAAAGAAACATTTGCAGCACATAATCTAGTTCTTTTGTGACTGTTTTCAATGAACCAACTTGGCTTTTAGCACATGAGCACATGAACCAATTATGTTTCCTGACTAAACATTTACAATTCAGTTGGAGGGAAAAGATGATTGCTTACATGACACATAGTGAATGATTAAGATGATGATGGTCCCATCTGCGAGCATTACTGTTGTTGTTTTGGATTTTCAGAGGCAGTAACTTGCACTGCAGAAGACCGACCCTCCTTCTCCCATGGAGCAGCTGGTGGATTCAAACTGTGTGCCTACAGATTGGCAGTGCAACTCCTTACCACTAGGCCACTAGAGTTCCCTAGCATCAAAGATGCTCAAAGAAACTTTCTACTAGCTTTACTTGATGAGTGAAGGTATAAGAGTGGATGGATCCTAGTGAGAATTGCAGAAGGAAAGAACACGGATGTAGGATAAGATTGTGGAGAGTTGTGAGAGGCAGGCTGGCCACTAAATTAAAAAAAAACAAACCAAACAAACCCCAAAACATTACAAAGTATTATTCCAGAAAAGAAATGGCTCTATTTTTACATTACTTTTCTTCTCTAACTTATTTACTAGTTAAGTGGATGTAACCAAGATTTCTTTATTGCATAAGTGCTATTTACTGGAGTTTAAAGTGTAATTCGATGGCAATGTTAAATAAAAACAGTAGGTAAAAAAAATAATAAATTTGGTGGCGTGAAAGAATGACTGAAGAGGAATGAAGTAGATTCATGAAGGCAATTAAGATGTTGTAATGCTTATAAATAGATACAATGTATGGGTGATAAATGTAAAATTAGATACATTTTGAAGCACAAATAGTAAGACTTGGTGACTCAGTAGATGTGAGAGAGAGTTCTAGACAACTTCTAAAAGCATTGGCTTGGTGATAAACGGAGGGGTTGTCATAGAAAAACACAGCGTTTGGAGGAAGAAAGATAGGCACGAGTTTGAAGTTAGGCTGATTCAGGTGGGAGGAGTCAGAGGTAATGTGGTGAGAGTCTAACAGGAAGACATCTCTTCCCAGCAGAAAAAAAGTTTGCTGAAAATCCAGGGAGAAGTTAGGGTGAAAGATTAGAACTTCAGAGAAGTGAGAGATCTCGACAGAGAAGTGACTGTCAAAATGTGAACTGATGAGGTAGGTGCCTCACAGACGAAGGAAAACAAAAACCTGGAAAGGCAAAACAACTATGAGATATCATTTCAACCCAGTCAGAACAGCAACATTTAACAGAACAGCAAGCAACAAATGCTGACAAGGTTGTGGAGAAACTGGAACCCTTATTCACTGTTGGTGGAAGTGTAAAATGGTGCAACCACTATGGAAGGCAGTGTGGCGCTTTCTCAAAAAGTTGCAAATAGAGATACCATTTGACCCAGCAATTCCACTACTGAGAATATCCCCTAAAGAGACCATAACTGCCATCCATGCAGATATATGAACACCCATTTTTATTGTGGCTTTGTTCACAATAGCAAGGAGTTGGAAACAACCTAAGTGCCCCTCAACAAACAAATGGATAGAGAAGCTGTGGTATATTCACACAATGGAGTACTACGCTGCATTGAAAAACAAGGAACTCATGCAATATTATTAAAAATGGCTGACCCTGGAGGACCTTATGCTGAGTGAAGCATCTCAGTCACAAAAGGACAAATACTGCATGGTGCCACTGTTGTAAAATGGGACTGATATCGGAGTTGGGGGGAGAATGAGAAAGATGGGTTCAATAATGTATGCTACATTGAAACAGATGAGGGAGAGAACTGTTTAAAAGGGATATGTGATTAGGTATTTTTGTCATGACAGGAGTCCAGGGCGAAGGCTGAATAGTGGAGTGGATGGACCTGGGGGAGGGATTGTAAAACAATGAAAGAATTTTTCTTTTACTTTTCCAAGAGGGGAGTGTACTGTGGGGGTAGGGAGGATTGGGAGGGGAGAAAAGTGCAACAATGAATGAATGGAAATCCAAAGTCTCTGTATATTTTCATTGAAGTTAATAATAAATTTTTAAAAAACCCAATAGGAAGGTAAAATCTAATGGAAGAAGCATGAGCAGCAGAAAAGCCTGAAGAACATGGATTGAGTGACTTGTGAAGTGATGGAGGAGGAGGGAAGAAGGGGGTGAGGGAGACCGAGTTGGTCCCACTCCACCAGGCCCCGCTGTATCTCTACCTGCCATATTCCACTCAGGAAGAAGATGCCTTAAAGTAAGGTTGCTCACTGTCACCCACTCACACTTCAAATGCCTGTGAACAGCACCTGGACAATAACGGAATCTCGATCACATCCTCTTAACTAGTTAATAAGTTAGAGAAGAAAAGTCAGGTAAAAAACCATGTCTTTCAAAATCACCTAAGTCAATATTCTGAGAACCTTTAAGAAAGGTCCATGTATTTTCAAAGCTGGTTAGAAGGAAAGAGTTTGTCTTTCTAGCTTATGAGTTGGACTTGCTCTTATTAATCCAAACTTTACTCATAGGAGAGATTAAATCAAGCCCCAAATCCGGGCAGAGGAAGCTGCTTCAAACTGGCTGTGACTGAAGACCAAGTTCAGCAGAAGCTTTACCTTCATGATGGGCACATTTTCCTGTCCTGGCTTGAACTCAGCTCGGTTACACAGGGAAATTATCCTAGAGAAGGAGGCCCAGGTCCCAGAGCTCTGGTCAAAGGTTTGGTCTGGAAAACACACAATGGACAGCGGTGGTGTGACATGCTCTCAAACACGCTCCTGCTTAAATCATCATTTTAATGAGTCTGCACATTTAGTTCCACTCCTAAGCTCAAGTCCCCATCTTTGGCTCACGCTGACTGTTCCACAAGACTTACTTGACTGGGCTTCACTTGTATCGGCCCTGAAGATCTGATTGTCAAACCAGAGATGGGCCACAGTCATCCGATTCTGGGTCAGAGTCCCCGTCTTGTCGGAGCAGATGATGGAGGTGGAGCCCAGGGTCTCCACAGCCTCCAGGTTCTTCACCAAACAGTTCTTCTTGGCCATCCGCTTTGCTGTCAGTGACAACGTCACCTATATGGGAGACAGAAAGAACTCTTGAAAAAGGCATTGCTAAACAATCTCTGATGATGCTGATCAAAGGTACTATAAAAGAATCCAAAACAAAAAAGGGAAATACAGAATATAATTTTCAAATTCTCACGGATTCCAGATTTTCTGGAGCAATAGAATTAGGATGAATCTCTGAAATTTGGAGATGGTCTTTAAACCTTAAGCCCAAACTTCCTCTGCAAGTCTTAAGACCAAATAAGAAAAGAAAAAAGAAAAAACGTCTGCCTTGAACTCAAAATTTTAAGATCTGCCTCTACGGCAATGAACTTACAAAAGCAACCTGAAGGATGAGACAGGAACTTTGGAAGACAATGAGTTTGTGCAAATGAGGGAGGCAGGACTCAAGGAAGAACAGTAATAATGAGCACACCACGGCAAGAATGTAATCAATGTCCCGGAATTATACAAGGTGACATTGTGAAATGGTTGTGTGTTTGAACAACAACAAAATGTAGAAAAATATTTTTAAAAAGCATAAGAAGGAAGAGAGAACTACTTTGAGCACAATTCCAGGAACATAGAAATAGTCAAGTTTAGCTATGATTAAATTTTAGGAAAAAGTGAGACTAGTTTAAGGGCAGAAGTGAAGTAAAAGATCTAGCAGAATAGAACTACCAGCTTATAAGACTTTCATGCCAATTCTTTCAAGTAGGTTTTTGTCCCTTCAGTTTTTATAGAAAATGATCCTGAGGGATGTTAGGGTGGTCTGCACTCATGTATAAATTTGAATAAGAATTAGTGAGAACTGGGCTCTGATCAGGTGAGATTTGGGGTTTGATTCTGCTGTCACTCACTAGGTTGAGTATGTGTGAGAGATTCTGACTGCTCATGCTAAAAAAAAAAGAGTCCCTTGTTGCTTTGGGAAACCAGGAAGCATTTGCATTTCTTTTTCAGAGCACCAGGTTTTAAACTCCTTAATCTCATGTGGTTCTCTTGGGCCCAGTTTACTCAAATACAACCTCTGGGAGTCAGAAAAGACCTGGAGTTCAAAACATCTTCTGCCTTTGAGGCAGACACCACCATACAAGAACTAGATGTAAACCACCTTCACAGGGAACTGGAATTGGGAATCTTGTCCTTTCTCCACCTACAGGGCCTTCCACACAGAAATTGGGGGTGGGGGGAGAGCGAGGAGGCTGTGGCTTACAAGTTTTGGTAAAGAAGACCTAAAGTTGAACTTGGGGGGGGATAGGTACAGGAAAGAACTAAATTGCTTCACAGAAGGAAACGAAAGGAATTTCAGTTTTTGCTGCTGAGAGAGATGATAGAATTGAAGCACAGATGAAGCTGTAGAGTGTGCCTAAGTTTCTAAATGGAAATTGGCAAGAAGAAAAATGTTAACAGAATTGTGGGGAGGGGATTAGGTTGCCTGGGTTGGCTGGGGGAGGAAATCAATAATGGTTTAAGATTATCTTCTTATCTAAATCTTTAGGAACATAATAACTTGCATGATACAGATGGATCTCTTGCAAATGAGCATGTAAAGTTTTCAAAGATAATGTATTACAGTAACACAACATCACAATTCCTTTGGTCCCTCTCAGAAACGCTCTACTGAGAATGTCCCACTGTTGTCTGTGATGGGGTAGGGGCTTCACTCTGATGACAGAGGAGACTGACTGGTGGTCAGGAGGTGGGAACGTGGCTAGCACAGGTCCCAAGAGGCAACAGTGTCAGGGTGCAGGAAGCACTGGTGGCGACCTAACAGCATGGACTCACAGTGACAGTGGCCAGGAGGCCCTCAGGCACATTGGCTACAATAATGCTGATGAGGAAGATGATGGAGTCCAGGACAGCGTACTTCATGGACACCGAGATGATGAAGAAAAGAAAGCCAATGGAGATGGCCACTCCTGCCACGATACGGACAAAATGCTCGATCTCAATGGCAATCGGTGTCTTCTCATTTCCAACTTCTGAAGCCAGGGAGGCAATCTGTCCAATGATGGTGCGGTCACCCGTGTTGATGACCACGCCGGTGGCTGTGCCTACAGGGGAAGTAGACATTTTACTCCAGGTCATTGGCTAGGAGAGAAATTTATACTGCACTAGAGTTCTCGCTTTGGTGGTTTGCGTCACCAACGAGTATTTGACATCACAGGACAAAAGTCAGCTCTCGAGGCTCTTCAACTTCCTATTTTCTATGCAAAATGTTTTCTAAGAGATGGTAAGAAGATAAAAGCATAAAAGTCTAACAAGAGAGGACTAACTGTATCCAGCCCTCAGAGCTGGCTGGACTTACCTTCCAGACAGGTGGTAGAATAGAACGCGATGTTCTTTGTCTCCAGGGGGTTTTCATGAGTGAAGTCACAGGACCGGGATTGGGGTTCAGATTCCCCAGTGAGCGAGGAGTTATCCACCTAGAAGATTTTTTTTTCATACCCATTTTTATTGCTGTGTTATCCACAACAGCAAAGAGAGGAAAGAAACTCAAGTGGCAGTCAACAAATGGATAGAAAAACTATGGTATGTTCACACAATAGAACATTACACAACATTGTAAAACAACAAAGTCATAAAACATTACACAACATGAGGCAGCCCGGAGGACACTATGCTAAGTGAATTATTTCAGTCACTAAAGGACACACACTGTATAACACTGTGGTTATAAAATAGGACAGACATGGTCGAGGTGGGGACAGAATGGGAAAAGAACGGATAATGATTCTACTCTTGAGAAAGAGACTTGACATATCTTTTACCCATTTTGTAATTGGGTGACACCTAGGAGAAATTTTGAGAAATGCTCACAATTTGGTTGCCTGCCTCAGGAACTCAGTTTAGCCCATGGAATGTCACCTTGTTACCAGCTTGGCCTTAGGGCAGGGGCTGTCTGACACTTACCTTGCACCCTTGAGTGGACAGCAATCTGATGTCTGCAGGAATCTGGTCTCCCCCTTTAATCTCCACTATGTCCCCCACCACCAGCTGTTCGGAAGGGATTGTTGTCTTCTGGGAATCTCGGATGACAAGAGCTTGCTGAGAAAGAATAACATGACAGGTGTCTCAGAGTCTGAAAGGATGCTAATATTCTTCCTTCATTTATGCCTCTGCCAAATCTCAGAAATGGAAGGATTGGACTCCAAAGCTAGAAGGATAGCAGAAAAATGAAAAGGAACATTGCACAGAGGAAGAGCTCACAGAGATACTCTTGGAATCAGACAATACTGGGACAGACAGACAGATAAAGAGAAATTAACAGGCACAGGCCTGATGGGAGGGAATCAGCGATTCAGGATGGATGACACTGGTCATGTCGGGGACAACGCTGAAGACGAAGCCAAAGGGTTTACGATCTTTTTAAAGCAGGGACAACTAAGTGAGGTGGACTTTCTGATTTTTAGCAAGGAGCGAGTTATCCATTCTAGCCAAAATCTTTCCTTTTTGTTGGAAATTCTTTGAGGTAGACACAACCGGCTCTCCTGGTCCTGTGCTGACTATGGTACATGGACTCCCTAGTAGACACCACGTTGTGGTGACATTGACATGGAAGCATCTAGAACACAGGCTCTGAGTTCAGGAAGGGGAGTAAAATGGTCCCAGAAAAAGAATGACAAGTTGGTCTCCTCAGCAGTTAATGGACATTCCCTGAACTTCTATAGTTTCCTCCCTGAATCATCCAAATCATGAAACTATTAAAATGGTTCTCAAAGGCTACAGGGCAATAAGCAGAGGACAGTGGGTAATGACTGACACAATGTCTTTCTTGATTCTTGACATTTTCCTGCATCTGATCATTTCAACACTCTGTGAGGAAGTGGGTTTCCAAGAGCACAGGCCCCTTGCTCTTTATTTCTTGGATGGGGTCAGGACTTGAGCCTCTGGCTCCTCCGTCACCAAACCCATCATTGCTCTAGCTGATGCTTCTTCATAAGAAAATGATGTGGACACAAGAAGGAAGATGGCGGCTGGGCCACTCACCTGAGGAATCATTTTACTGAAGCTGGCCATGATGTTGGTGGATTTCGCTTCTTGATAATAAGCAAAGACCCCGGTTAAAATAACCACCACAGCAAGCACAACACCCAGGTACACCTGAGGGATGAGGGGAGGAGTCAGTCAGAAAAGGCTGCAGGGAAAGGGGAGATGCGTGGACTTACAGGTCATAAAATGTATCCGTTTTAAATGTACGACTCAGTAACTACGCATTTCAGGATTATTTCTTCAGATTGTGTTTTAAATTGTTTTTTAAAATAAATTTATGGAGGAGAACGGCCATCACACCAATGAGGACATTTCCATCGGCCCACAAAGTTCACGCACTCGTCTCTGTCCATGCCCCACTCCCCTCAAAATTCCTAATCTACCACTAATTTGATCATTGTTCCCACAGAATCCTCTTTTCTGGACATTGCAAATTTTTGGTGTCTGTTTTTTTTCTCTTAGCATAATGTTGACCAATTTAGTATTTTTTTAAAATTAATTTTAATGAAGGTTTACGGCGACTTAGGGTTTCCAGTCATTCACTGTTGCACCAATTTAATTTTGTAGTTAGGGTGTCTAGACATAAACGTTCATGTTTAAATAAGAGAATTCATTTTGAGGAGAAATAATATCATAATACCTAGCATGGATAGAGTTTTTCATTTTTTAAAAGTCACACTTTCACTACCTCCATGATACCAGCTGCAATTTTAACTTATGGATGGCAACATGAGTGGTTTCCTTACACCCATGTGGTGGTGCTCAGAGGTCACGTCCTGACTGCAGTCTCACGCTCTGACCACTCAGGCCTGATTTCATGGTTTTTGTCCACCCCTATTTGGAAGCAGGAGTGGCATCCACTTCTTAAACAACATGACTCTGGAAACTCTATGAGCTTTGATAAATGATAGTTAAGAAAAAGGCTTCAGATCTTTTGTTCATAGGGTCATTATTTCTAAGTTAGTAGAACCACGCGGGGGCTTAGCCAGGCCTTACGTTGTCCAGAGATGGGGACAGATTGTTGGAGTACTGAATCCCGTATGCGATCCAGCACAGGACGGCTCCAATCCACAGGAGGATGGAGAAGCCTCCCACCATCTGCTTGAGGAACTTGATGATCTCCGGGGTCGTCTTGGGAGGGCTGAGGGTGTTGGGCCCGTCCCGAGCCAGCTGCTCTGCGGCTCTCGCACTGGAGAGACCCTGTGGGAGGTCAAGCAAACGGAAAACAGAAATGAAGCCAGTTCTCCTCGTCCTTCAGGAAGCACGCTGTGCTCCTACCTCTAAACAGCGCCTTGTGGACATTCAAATCCACTAACACTGAGAAAGATGAGCATTCTCCTCCTGTGCAATTTACAGCCTCTGAATCCTACTGGAGGGTCGGTTATGACGGAGCGGAGCCTTCTGCAGGGGTTCGGATCAGATTCTGGAGCTTGTAGTTAGGAGTTAGCCTACTTCTAAGAAAAGTCCTGGGACAAGTGGACAATTAATTACCTCAATCCTACCTGTTCCAAAGAATCTTTAATGCTGACTATGACCCAGGCACGGTTTTCAGGGTGAGGAAAGCACTGTTACTCTCTTTACTTGGCAAATGTGCGAATGGAAGCAAATAGAGTTTAAGAAGTCTGCCCAAGGTCGCCCCGCTAGTAAATGGTGGTGTCAAAAGTTGACCCAGGAAGCCTGGCTCCAGAGTCCAAGCTCTTCACCGCCGTGCTCTGCTAAAGGAATTTCCATTTCTTGGAGATTTAACCAGACACTGGTGTATCTCTGATGAGAGGGATTTCCAATGTGAAAACTAATAAGCAGGGTTCGGGGAAAAGCAGTAACTCTAGAAAAGACTCGCTCCCTCTTCGGGGACTTGCACAGCACACCTGTGGCTGTCCGGTCAATTCTGGGCTCAGAGTGAGTGACCCGGTAAGCTGCCCCCGCAGGGTTCCCCAAGCTGGAACCTTCATGGCAGCCCGACCGACCGCCGCTCTCATCTCCCTCCCCTTTCCCACCTAACCAAATCACTTTCTCTTGTGAACTCTCTACTTGCTTAATTCCATTAGTGACTCATTTGGAAAAGAAAAAAAAATAAATCTTGGCCGTCTCTTCCCCATTAAGGCTTCCTGGTTATCTCTGCAATGTACCCTGACTCTGGCCCCATACTTCTCATCTTCTGCCACGGCCCCATTTCAGCTCTTACTCCCCTGTCACATTCTCCTAGATCACCGTCTCATTCTTTTAGAGTCTCCTCCCTTCCATCTCTCACTTAAAAGAAAAAAAAAATCTTACTCTAGAAGCACCTTTGAAGGCCAATCTTATCAAATTGCCTCCCTCATACACTTCAGAGTCTCTATTCCTTAGTTTAATGTCTAAGTGCTGCTGACATTCTCACCCATTTCTTCTACCTGGTCTCACACGGATCTCCCCTCTTCTTCCCTCTTCACACCATGGGTCCCAGTGACCCCAGGTTGCTCTCAAAATCTAAACACACTTTTCTTTTTAGCTCCCTGAGAGTCTGCCAACTTACGTTCTAATCATGCTCTTTTTCTTTTTTTTGACAGGTAACTATACATATACAAAAAAATGTGTGTAAGATGAATATTCACTGTATGCATTCTATAAAGTAAGAAAGCATAATCAAAGACTATTCAGGTCATATCAAAAGGACTCAAGAGGCAACCTGTGGAGGTTTGCATAGGCCAAAGATGAAAACAGCTGAGCACAGGTAAGGATTCTAGCTGTAATGGATTGAGATGCATCTCTATTGTCATCCTCTTCAATCTCAATGCAAACCCTGGATCACCTAGGGAGTCTACTCTGGTCCAGTTAGAACCAATCCTCTCAGCCCATTATTCCAACCTCTCATTTGCCACTGAAGTGGAGTATGGTGGGTGTCATGGTATCTTCCTATTCTTCTGCCTCCCCTATGAAGTGTCTAGTTCTTCTTCCTCCTCTATAGAACTGTCTACTCTTTTTTTTTTTCAGTTTGTTTTTTTATTAATTTTAATGAAAGTTTACAGAGACTTTGGATTTCCATCCATTCACTGTTGCACTTTTCTCCCTGCCCAACCTCCTGCCCCAGTTTGCTCTTCTCTTTGAAAAGTAAAAATCTTTCATTGTTATACAATCCCTCCTCCCAAGTCCACTCCACTATGCAGCCTCTGTTCTGGACTTTTGTCATGACAATAATACCTAATCATATATCCCTTTTAAACAGTATACATAATTTAACCCATCTTTCTCAGTTTCCCCCCCAACCCTGATGTCAGTCCCATTTTACAACAGTGGCACTGTGCAGTATTTGTCCTTTTGTGACTGAGATATTTCACTCGGCATAATGTCCTCCAGGGTCACCCGTTTTTAATAATATTGTCTACTATTAAGACCAAAGACCATCTTGTACCTCTTTGTATTTCTCTGTGGTCTGTACATAGAGGGCGTCTCTGTTGTACATTCAGGATGCAAACCTTGTGGAATCCAACACTTAGACTTTACAAAAATTTGAACTCATAGCAGAAAGCTGTACTTTCTGACAGAACAGCATTTGCCTAGTTCACAGAGAGGTATGCTGCCAAGCCAAAGGCTCTGTGGGTTCGAATCTACCTGTGGCTCTTTGGTAGACAGGTGGCCTCTTACCTTTCGTGCAACTGACAGCCTTAGAAATGCAATGAGGGCTCAGCTTTGAGTGGGTGTCAGCTGGAGTGTGGGCTTGAGGGAGCTGACTGGGTGGGCTCCTGGAGTGTCTCCTTCCTTGGAGGTGAGGAGGACATGGGTCTGAGGCTGTGACTCTGGTTCTTAGCTTATTATATCACCGGTGACCCCCATTCTCTGGGAAGCGGAGCGCCATGTGCCTCAATCCTTTCTCAACACAGGGCTTAATTACAGCAGCCTCTGTGACAGCGAGAAAACGCTCAGTGTCTCAGTGGCGATACCATAGCTGTTCTGCAGTCACTGAGTGTGACCAGACCAACAGCTCAGACACTCACATTCCTATAGGCTGGATGACTCTTCTGGTACATTCTAGGTATCGTTAGTACTGGTACTCTCAAAGTGGCTGCAATAGGTGATTCACCTTAAAGTGACAAGAGACTTTTCTACACATACCCAGGGAACCACCTTTGCATGTATATGCTCGGAGGGCTTCTCCTCCCGATCCCTTGTTCCCAAGGACTTACCGTAACAATGTTGGTTCCATATTTCTTTTCCAACTCCTCACAGCTGAGCTTGTGGTCATCCTGAAATCCAAGAAAGGCAGAAAACAACGTGACTTAGATACTTTTCAAAGACCCAAACCCTGAGCTTTGACCTAATAGCTCTGAGGATGGGCAAGGAGGTCAGCTGGTGTGAGGGAAAAAGACCAAAAGTCCCCTTTGTCAGGTGGCAGCTGCAGTAAGGGAAGAAGGCTACTTCACAAGTGTCTTGTCCTGATTCTGGGGCTGGGGATTTTTTTTCCTTGTCTTCCCTGAAGCATTCTGCTTTAATCTGTCACTCACCACATAACTTCTGTCCTCAGTACAGACAAAGTCACGCAGTCCTAAGACACTTGCCTTCCAAGTACTGGCTATCTGGGTCCTTTAATTTAGACCTAGATTTGGAAATTAGTAGGTAATAAGCAATGAATACCAAACCAGACCGACTACATCTCATGCAGGATCCTATGTTCTGACAATTCCCCATCCATGCAGCCCCAAGTGGTCGTCTCCAGCACCAAGAGGCACATCTCCCTGAGACAAGTAACGGGAGCCAAGAACTTCTCTGATTTGGGAGATTAAAAACTTGTCAAACAAATGCCAGGCTGACCCATGCTTGCTAATTCTATGATGGCTTTGTTAGCTGGTTTTATGTGCCATCACGTTGATTACAACTTAAGGTGACTAAAGCAAGGGTTTTTGTTCGATTGACACTCTGGGTCGGACAATTCTCTGCCCTGGGAGCTGCCTCGTATGTGGTAAGATGTCTGTCTGCATCTCTGACCTCTAGGCCCGAGCTCTCCAGACGTTGTAAGGTGTTCCTGAGGGGTGGGTATTGAGGACGCACCTCTCCTCTAGATCTGAATGACCAGTTGAAGGGACTAGATGCTTCTTCATGTAGCAGAAAGCCCACGGTTAAGCCTTCCTTTCCCCACCTAGAAAACGCAGCACCCAGCAGTGACAAGGTTTCTGCTTTGCTTGTAACTTCAATTTAATAACCAACTGAACGTGACATTGTCAGAACTCAAAAGATTAAGGCATGGCCCTGCTCTCTTGAGTTTCACAGATGAACAACCAGCACACAGTACAGCAGTGGGTTAAGCTTTGTATATTTGCCTCTGAGGGAAATTGAGACCTCACACTTGGAGAAGGGCAGAGCTGAGAGGCCAAAGGACCGTTCTTTCCTCCTCCAGGTGAGCTTGGCCTTCAGGGAAGAATTCATGGGTGTCTATGCGCCATCTGCTGGCCAGCATGGAAATAGCACAGGCTTGGGTTATTACCTACTGATATTTAGAAGCCAGGACCATTTTCATTGTTACCAGGGTTCTGAGCATCTGGAGAGGCCAGAATTCGCATTCAGAATCCAAGCACTGTTCCAAGGAAAGTACTCTTGTTAGAAGGTTTAGGAGAAGTGGTGGCGCAGATCTTAAAGTGATCAGCTGTTAACCTAAAAGTTGCAACCCACGTCTTCTAACCTTGCTCTGCAGGAGAAATAAGCAGCCGTCTGTTTCCATAGTATTACAGCCTTGGAAAGTGTATGGGACAATTCTACTCTGTCCTAGAGGGAAGCTATGAGTAGGAATCAATTCTTTACAAGTTGAGTTTGGCTTGGAATTGGGGAAAAAGGTGTAAAGGAAAAAAGAAAAAGGCTCCATTCTAACCCAGGAAGCAGAATACTTTGGCTAATCATATAGAAATTTTTCATAATATTATATATTCCCACAAAGTGCTCAGATAAACGAGGTCTCATTCTAATAAACAGACTCTAACAGGCCTGTGTTGTAAGTGACAGTTCTAAGAGCTCATCATCTCAGTGCTGTGGATGAGGTCAGGTCACAGCTGAGTTTCTGAGGCTGTAAATTACAAGGGGGGAAAGACTGTCCAACTTTCTCATGAAGAGCTCCTGGTAGATTCGAACCACCAGAGAGGCGTGGCCTTTGGGTTGGAAGTGCAACTCCCTGTGGCCTAGGCCAGAGACTCCTGAATTCTTAGCTATGTTTTCAACCTTTAAATGTAAGAAACATACAACAATTCCTAATTATTATCTACTGAATGTCCAGTCCTGCTTTAATTAATTGTTCTTGCTGTTGGGTACTGTCGAGTCAGACCCTTAGCTGACCCTCTGGCAGGTTTTCAGAGGCAGTAAATCATGGGGGGGGGAGGGGAGTAAAGTGGCCATCTTTCTCCCATGGAGCAGCTGGTGGCCTTGAACCATGTGCCTTCAGGATTGCAGTGTGGCTTCTTGCCACTAGGACTGCAATTGTACAGTAATCCCAAAGGCGTGTGGTTCTTATCCACCAGCTGCTCTTCAGAAGGATAGGCAGTCTCCTCCTGTGATTTCCTGCCTCTGAAAACCTGCTGAAGGGTCACCTAAGAATCAGTTTCGATTCGAAGGCACACAACTATATAACAGAAGAACTGTACCATAGAAGAAACCGAAGTTTACAGCCAAGTAGGATTTCAATTCAGTTAACAGAGTTTCAGAGCTTGTGTTCTTCAACGTCTGCCTGTCTATCTGTATTCTTTGTCAAGAGGCAGAAACCTGGTGGCCTATTTTGTAGAGAGTTATGCTGCCAACCTCAAAATGGGTGGTTCAAAATCACCAGCTGGTTCGTTGGAAAATATGGGCATTCTCCTTTCATGGGGTTCACAGACTCTGAAAACCCGCAGCAGGGTCGGCTATGAGCTGGTTCAGAGTAGATGGCAATGCATGAGCTAAACAGCCAGGCAAGAGAGAACGTGAAGACTTCATCCTCTGATATCTACCCGGGAGTGCCTCTAACCAGCATACAGGACTCCTGCACAGGACTGGACTCTCGGGCAGAAGCCATTACATTAAGTGTCGTTGAGTGGAGCATGAGTCATAGGAACAAAAGACCAGAACCCTGTTCATTAAGTATCGTCTTTTCTCTGTGTTCATAGAGTTTTAAGAGGCATATAGTTTAGGAAGTGGATACCACTCCTGCTTTCCAACCTGAATCAGTCTGAGAGCTCCATCAAACACTGTCCATGATGGGCAACCATTATGGCATTTGACAAACTAGTGGCACAGCGTTCAGCATCACAGCAAGCCCAAGTAACTTCAGTACAGCAAACTGACAGACCTGTGCTGTATCACTTTGAAGAATGTTCACCCCAAACATAACACCAAATCCAAGCAGCTCACAACTGACTGTGAATGAAAAAAATCCAAAACAGCCAAAACCAACCAAATAAAAGTCCACACCCGACCCTCACCAAGACAAGAGAAACCATGTTCCAGGATCTTCACCCATGAGCTGGAGTCTTAGTTGGCCCCTTAAAGAAACCAACCCCAAACCAACCAAGAAACAATTCTCATGGAAAGCTTCCCATCTTTGCAGTGGGTTTTCATTCAAAGTGCGGTGCCCTGTCTGGCTGTGGGGCAGTGAGACCCCTCTGACAAGGTACTGACCAGGCCCAGGTCTTGAGGAGCCTCCTTGGAGTGGTCCTTTTTGCCCGGCTTGTGATGGTTCTTCAGGCCCCTGTACTTCTCCGGACCATCCCCCTTGTCTGTTTTCTGGATGTCTTTAGTTCCATCAAGCTCCACAGAGTAAATTTCGATTGTTTTCTGAAAAGAGAAATAGAGATACAGTACTGGCACTAAGTGGGTTTTCCAAAAAGGTGCTGAGCTCCCTCCCAAGAAGGGCTCCTGTGGGTGAGGGGCTCACAGACCCGGGATGGACAACTCCCTCCCCCCCCAATACTCTGGACTAGGGGGGAGGGAGAGGGCCTGGGCGGTTTCTCTCTTCTACCTTCCAGCACCAATTCCCCATCTGTTCATTCTCGCCTTCCATGCCCTCAGGTTGAGAAGGAAGGCTGGGTGGGGCGGGCTGGCTGGGGCCAGCGGGCCTTCTCCTTAGGGTGACCTTCATTGGCCCCAAGTGTAGACAAGGCTCCCTTCCCGCGCCCAGTTCTTCTGAGGACACACCAGATGTATGTGCCCACTCTTGGATGCTGTCGTTAATGTGTCATGGAGTCTGAACCGACTCACAGCTGACTCTCCGGAGGGTTTTCAGAGGCTGCAAATCCCACAGAAGGAGACTGCCCATCTTTCTCCTCCAGAGCATAGGAACCTTGTGCCTTTGGTCTGGAGGCGCAGCTCCTTATCTACGGATACTCTGATCTCAGGAACCTCATCTATTGGCACTGAGTAACACTTCTCCAACATTTCCCTGTTAACCCTCAGCCCCCATTCCTGTGCCACCACTGGAACCAGTGCTTCCCAGTGCTGGGGGTTTATGGCCCCTTCCTGTGCTGGGATTGAATACCCCAGTCCGGTTAGGAGTGAAAACCTCAGCGTTTTGCAGTGACTTGGGGTCACTCTTCAATGTTGTTGGGTGATCAAACCCCGCAGTTTCTCCCCCTTCCTCCTGCCCCAGGACGCGCTTTCCTGAAGGTCCAGAGACCCCATCCCCTCTCCTGGAGCCCTCCAGCACACGCACCTTGACCATGATGCCGAGGCTGCGGTGACAGGTTGAGCGAGGTCAGCGGGGATCTGGGCGGCTCCAAGCTCGGAGCTGGGTGGGACGCGAGGGTTCTCAGGGGGGTCCCAGCGGAGGGCGAGGTCAGCTGCGGCGAGGGGCCCGTGCGGACATGGCGAGCCTGGGGTTCGCGTTCGGCGCGCTCTGATGGGGACCGCGCGGCCGCTCTGCTTTTAAAGCTGCGCGGCTCCGCCCCCCCGCACCTGCGGTCCGCTTGGGTCTGGCCGGGGGTGGTGGGAGAGTCTCGTGCGCATGCGCAGGGAGGCCCGGCCGAGCCCCGGGGTGCAGAGCGAGGCGCGCGGCCGGAGGGCTAAACTCCGACTCCCGCACGTGCGGTCCGCCTGGGCCCAGCCGGGGGCGGTGGGAGAGCGCGCGGAGCGCACTTGCGTAGAGAGGCCCGGCCGAGCCCGGGGGGCGCAAAGCGGGGCGCACGGCCGGTGCACAAAGCCCCTACCTCCGCATGTGTGGTCCGCCAGGGCTCGGCTTGGGGCGGCGGGCAGAGCCAGGGGGACGCAGAGCGGGGCGCACAGCCGGCGGGCAAAGCCCTGATCCTTGTACCTACAATCCACCGGGGCCCGACTGGAGGCGGCGGGAGAGCCCACAGAGAACGCGCTCAAGGAGGCTGGGCAGAGCCAGGAAGGCGCAGAGCGGGGCGCACTGCGGGGCGCACGGCCGGCGGGTAAAGCCCAGGACCCCGCGCCAGGGCTTCTCCGCAGCCTCATGTTCGCGCCCGCGCTTCTGAAAGTCCACACTTGCTTTTATTTTAAAAACGCAGTTCACATAGGAACTAATTTACGAATACCTAACTAGAGACTGGAAGTGCTGCTCCAGCCTCTGCAGCAGCGACCCTGTTCTCTAAGAACTGTTCCTGCGACAGAAAGCCGCTTCGTTTGTGCAAGAGTGGTGCCACTGTTGTAGAATGGGTCTGACATCAGGGTGGGGGTATGACAGAAAAAAACTGGATAAATTATGTATATTGAAACAGATGAGGGAAAGAACAGATTGGAAGTGATATATGATTGAGTATTATGGTTAGCACAGGAATCCAGAATTATGGTTGCATAGAGAAGTGTACTAGGGCTGGGGGGTGGGAGGAAGGGACGTGGGAATTGTGTACTAATGAAGGAATTTTTTTTCTTTTCTTTTTTTTCTCTCTTCGGAGGGGGAAGCGAGCTGGTGGGGAGGGAGAAAATTGCGGCAATGAATGAATGGAAATCCAAAACCTCTGTAAAAAAAAATTATATATATAAAAAAAAGAATGGATTTCTTGGGCTAATGTGGACCTCACAGTGAATTTGAGAGTAACCAGGACGGTCCCGTTGGTTGGATTACTTGGATTACTTGACTGAATCCAGTCAGAATGAGGAGGGCAATGCAGAGGACTGAGGCCAATTTGGAAGGAGGGCGAAGGGAGGGAAGGTGTGCGGATCCGGAGCTCCCGGCTGTGAGGGCGCAACCTCCTAATTGTGGAGGCCACCTGGTTGACAGGGCTGCGAGGGAGGCAGGGCTGGGGAAGTTTGGAGTGTGTCATCTTCACTATCCCGCCTGCCTTTCCCCTCCTCTCAGTCTCTGGGTTTCCCCCCCTCTTCCTTCCTCTCTTCCTTTCATTTGGAAATTGCACACTTTCTTCCATTGTGGAGCGAGGACACCAACAATGAGCCACTTCTTCAATATTGCAGTGCAGTTTCTTATCACTAGGCCACCGCTCCCTGATAAATCTATATATATTGTTGCTATGTAACATGTTGTTGTTGTTGTGTACCATTAAGCCAGAACTGACCCATAGCTGACCCTCCAGCGGGTTTTCAGAGGCAGTTAACTGCAGGAGAGGGGATTGCCATTGCCCATCCTTCTCTGCTGGTGGAAAAGCAAAGGGGAGGGTTTGAACCCTCAGAATTTAATTTCTAAAAGGTAGTGTCTTAGCCACTAAACCGCCTGGGCTTCCCAATGAGCCACTTCTTAAGGAACCTAAACCTGAGGGAATGAAACCCCAGGGCACACCGAATTTACATAACACACCTCAGAATCTTTAGGTTCAAGTCTTTGCCATCTATCTGGTCAGATGGAAGAGTGACTTCCAGGGAGGTCTTTGTTGTACCTCCTTCACCCCTTTTACCCTAGACAATGCTCTTCAAAGGAAAAGTTCACAGATAACATAGTGAGGTACAGACGTATATGAAACTGATGTTGCCTGCTTGCTGGGAATCCAAGATAAGAAGATTTACCAGCATCGGTAGATGCTGTCTCATCACTGTTTGAAGGCCCTGTTCCAACCCTTTGGATTTATATAGGCTAGAGAAACAAGACAGCCAGAGAGATAGCTCTCAATCCTCATTCAGGTCAAGTCCAAGAACAGAAAATTCACTTCCCTGTGGCTTGGATTGAGGAATAAAAGAGTGGGAAGGAGTGGACTTGGGGAAATTTTACTTTCTAGATTAAAAAAACCCCAAACCCCAAAACGATATTTTTCATTCTCCTCACTGCGTCAAGAAGGAATGGCTCATGGCTGACTGGATTTCCAGGAATGCAAATTGCATAGATGGCGTTTGCTCACCTTTCTCCACTGGAGCTGTTGGTGGATTCCACCCTCCAGAGAGGCTTGCTCTTTGGGTAAGCAGCACAGCTGCCGACAGAAGAAATTTACACCTCACTCCCAGCCACTTGGACTGCAATTGACTCCTCTTAGTAACAAATGTAGACAAGTGTCACTGCTGAGGTGGGCAGGCATGTTTCCCCGGTCACGTTCTTTGGTCCACCAGAAGTCCTGGTCTTCTGCAAGGGACCAGGCTCAGCCTCTGCTCCGCTTCTACAATGCCCTATGTGGAAGCTTCTGATGTTATTAGGGGCCCTGAGTGTGGCCAAGGCTGCTGCCTATCATCCCGTCCCAGTATCTATAAATCTCACTCTGCTTTGAAGACTCAGGACTCATCCTCACTTTACATCCATAGCTGTCTTCCGTAGAGGCACCTGGACTAAACCACACATGGTGGTAGTTTTTAGGTGCTATCAAGTCAGCTGTGACTTATAGCAATCCGAGGAAGAACCGTCCTGAACTTGGCCTTGTACTGTACCATCCTCACAATCTCTGTCCTGCTCAAGCCTATTATGGTGGTGGTGTTATTGTCGAGTACCTTAGAGTCAGAACCAACCCATACCTGACCTTCTGGCAGGTTTTCAGAGGCAGTTAAATGCATGGGAGGAGATTGCCTGTCCTTCTCCCATGGAGCAGCTGGTGGCCTCGAACCCCATGCCTTTGAGTGTGTAGTGCAGCTTCTTGCCACTAGGCCACCAGCATCATAGTCAGTTCATCTCATTGAGGGTCTTCTTCTCTTTAGCTGACCCTCTGCATTTTTCAGCATGATGTCTCTGTCTAAGGATTGGTTCCTCACAAAAATATTCCCAGAGTAAGATGAAGTGTTACCATCCTTGTCTCTAAGGAGCGTTCTAATTGTACTTCCCTCAAGACAGATTTATTGGGGGTGTTTTTTTGGCAGTCCAGGGGATATTCAGTACTCTCTGGCAACACCACAACTCAAAGCTATCAATTCTTCTTGTGTCATCCTTAATTTATTGTCCAACTTTCAGATGCATGGAGTTTACCACACGTGGCCCAACTTTTAGATACATAGCTGTACCATACGTGGTATAACCATGGAATGGGTTTCCCTTCAGCTACAGAGGTTGAACTCTTGTGCTTGCTTTGGCAGCACATATACTAAAATTGGAACGATACAGAGAAGATTAGCATGACCCCTGCGCAAGGATGAAATGCAAATTCGTGAAGCGGTGTTTTTTTTTAAGAGGTTGAACTCTGGCCCCAGGGACTGTCATCTATCTTGTCCTGGGCAACTGGACCTGACTCCTCTCCCTTCTAATGACCTTGGATACCTCTTCCACCCACATCCTCAAGCAGCAGCTTCTACTTGAGGCTGGATTTTCCTGTCTTTTGAAAGAAGCCCAACTATGCTAATTCCAGGATTGTTTCAGTTGATAAATATTGTATTTGGAACAGGCCCACATGGGATATGTTTATTCTTGGACCATTGTTAATCAATGAATACTCTTAATGTATTTGGAACTCTACTAGATATAAGGGTAGCTTGAAGAAAGAAAATAATGTCATTT